GCGGCCCCGCCGCGGGCAGCGGCGGCCGAGGGCAGGACGCGGCTCTCGCCCGCGCTCCGCCGTGCCGCCATGAGCGCGCGTGTCCGCGCTCCTAGGCTGAGCCGAAGACTTTCTCGTGGCGGCTGGGGAATGGTGAGCGCTGCGCTGGCGGGGTCCGCGTAGGAAGCGCACTCGGTGCTGGTCTGCGCTGGTCTGCTTCGCCTTGGAGGCGCGCGCAGAGCAGGTATGCCTGAGCGCGGGCTCCGTCAGGTCCCCGGACTAGTTTGAGAGACGTTAAAGGACTCCCTATTTGTTTTGTTTTACTTTGCTGTGCTTTGATTCCTAAGTGGGCAGTATCCGCCCTAGTTTCGCATCACTCTCTCTTCAGTGTCACTTGTTAGTTTTGCGAGCGGGAGCCCTTCTGCTTTGTATTTGGTGTTCTCCCTCCAGCAGGCACTGGGATCTTCAGGAAAAGCGCCAGGGGGTTGAGGAGCGCCAGGGCTCTGCCTCTGCAGCAGCAGCCCTCAGAGATCCCAATATCGGGTCTGAGGTTGTCAAATAAATCTAAATTAGGTCTATGAATTCAAAAGAAGCTCAGTGGGACTTGGATAAAGAAAAAAAAATGTTAAGATCTATTAAAATCTGAATTGACAGTTTTCATTGTCAGGCATCCTGCCACGCTCAGCACACAGACAAATATCCAAAGATCCTGGCAGCATCAAAGCTTTCTGGACTTGCTGTGCCCACCTGCATACCGAAAAGGGGACAACACATCAGCTGCCTATGAGGGAAACTATCCCCATCTATCAGCTTGACTGCAGTGATAGGGAATACTTAAAGAGAATTCCCTCACTTGGGAAAGTGAAACAGAGGCTGAGGGAGAAAAAAAAAAAAAGGAAAGAAGAAAAAGAGAGGACTGATTTTTGCGATCATGAAAGAAGAGGCAAATTAGCTTGTCCAAAATAGAGTGGGCTCCCACCCCTGTTATATTATTTGCTGCACAGATGCCTGGCTTTGCCTTAAGGAGTACAGGATTTGGTGCTAGAATTCCCTTTAGTTCTTTGCTTACACAGAATGCAAAGCAAGCAAAGGATTTTGTCAGGTGACTAAGGAAGGAAAATAAATAAATATATATTATATATTATATATTATATATTATATATTATATATTATATATTATATATTATATATTATATATTATATATATTTCCTTGAATGAATATTCAGTGCTCCCCCTTCCCTGAGTTTTTTTTTCCTAATCATTTCATGAAACTTGAAGAAATATATCCTCCAGGATGTGCTCTGAGAAAGGGAACATTCACTGAAACATTGAAATTCAGCCTACACTGCAGGAACACTGTGGGATCTCCTGTGCAGAACTCCCAGGAGTCACACAGTGAAAACCTGAACCACCAAGTGGCAAAATCAATGCTTTCTGGTTCAGTTAATACTTTCATTCGTATGGACGAGTCATTTCATCATAGGGGAGTAGCTTCTGTAAGTGATATTCCTGTTCCATGCCTCTAATGTTTACATTCAACCAAGAGGAAATGGATGCTTCAAATTCCCACAGGGAAGACAGTGGGGGAATCAACTCTGGATCAGTTATCTCTTAGGTTAGTGCTCTAACCTCTGGACTATTACGTAAATGGAGGAGCCCGACTGGAAAATGGCACTTCTCTGTTGTCTACAAAGAATACCTTAAAGGCTTAAGAAGGACTTAAGCTTGACACTTCTCCTTAGTATCTCCAGATGTCTTTGGAGGCAGTTTTCTGTGTGCTTTTCTGAATCATATGCTGAGGTCTCTTGCTTTTCCAAGGGAGTCCAAGGACTTAACTTATCTTCATGGATTTCCTAGGATGAAGAGGTGCTCCAAAGTTATGTCCTGCAGCTCTCAGTATCATAATATATACAACCTTTTGTGGGTCAAGCCCTCCTTGCTTACCTAATTCAGTAAGAAATGGATTCCTAGCTTCAGTTTTGATACAGTGAAATTCCTGCACTGCCATTAAGGTGCCTCTGGAGGATGATGAATGAAGAGTAGATATGGTGCACATCTGGAGCATTGCACAGTATGGTCAAGACAGATCCTGTCCCATTCTAGGAATACTTGCCCTTCTGTAGCAGGAAGATGAGCTCCATGAATCATTTTTTTGGCCGCTATAGACCATAGCACAGGGATCCTCTGCAAGCAGGGTGAAAGCCAGGAGAAAGGAGGATGGAGCACAGGAAGAGCCTCCCTCTCCACCCCTGGTGCTTTGGGTTGCATCATTTCTCAGCCCTCCAAACTGTGAACTTTACCATCTGAATAGTCAGCATGTCCCTTTCCTGCCAAGGAAACACTCATATTCCAAGAGTCAGTGCCA